TATATATATATATATATTAAATTAAAACGTTGCGATGTTTATAATAGATATAGTAAAAAAAAAGTGGGTGTCTCTTTGGCAAGCGGGTATTTTCGGAAATAGTAAGAATCTTCAAAAGCAGGCTGTTCGTGTTAAAGACCTTATTGAATTAATAAAAGGAACATTGAAATAGAATAGGACACGTAGGCCAAAGAATATCGAAGAGGTCGTTTTATATCATGACCAGCGTAGAATATTTAGAGTGACCATGCGGCCTTTAGTATTCGTTTCGAGAAACGTGCCCTTCTCACTATTGTAGTTGATTCTTTGAATGTTTTGCTAATAAATCGTTATTCTACACATCTATTTTTATTGAAAATTTACAGTTCTACCACAGACTTCCAGAGATCCCTACTTGTTTCGAAGGGTCATATTCACCGAAGCAGGCCAGAAAAGTGCTCGATTCAATTTGACCTAATTTGATAAGAAGTACAAACTTTTGGCCAAATATTTCAATTAGAGATTTAACGTACAATAGCACGCGAGCCTACGGCAGCAATTTTTCCTACGATTTAATTCTATATTATATACATTTTAGAATTATGCCATGGTTCATTTCGTGAATTACATTCAAGTGGTGAAGTATTGTGGTATTTCTCATTTGACGTGACTTCCTGTTTTGGCACGTTCCTTAAAACGTTTGCAGGCCCATAACGGCAAATTATGTTAAAAAAAAAAATAATAGAGCATCAAAAAGCTACAGAACTAGCTAGATAGACTCAGCGGGAAAGACGCAGCGTACCGTATCGTAATGAACGACCCTGATATTATGACCAGCTACGCCAACTTCCATAGAGAAACTAAGCTAAGAGAAAAATGTCGAGAAGACACCGAAATATGAAAAGAGTTTATTGCCTAAAAATGGGCTGTACGCTATTTATACACATTATTTTACGGCCTAACAGCATTAGCATTTATGTATTCCGTCGAATCCAATCGTTGATACTGTTATTACGATTGTCAGGAATGGTATCCATACATACATACATACATACACTAGGTGACTTAACATCACGACATCGTGTCAACAGGGTATCTTGTCTAGAACTCTACTGCTTAGTCAATAGATATACCATGACTCGCAACAGCTGCAGAGGCGTTTGCGCATCCGAAATAATTACTTTGAATACAAAATTATTATGTAAAATTATCGTCCAATTTGATAATTTTCGCTGGTTTTCTGCCCTCGGCCTCGACAGGACACATCTGTGAGCTGGTACCCGGCCGATCAGCGAAGCGTTCGCCATCTTCGTCGATGTCTTCGCGTTCAAGGGAAAAATCCTCGAAAAAATGACGCTGAATCTCACCTTCCGCTTTTTGGTCTCGATCGTCCTCATTGTCGATGTACATCTCGCGCTCCTCGTTGCCTGCATTGCCATTATCTTCTGCTCCATCCCCTTCAACCTCCTCCTCCTCCTCCTCCTCCTCTTCCTCCTCTTCCTCTTCAACCACTTCAACTTCATCAGCCACGTCGTCGCTACCGCGATCGAAGAACGGATCGTGGCCTTCGTACGCTCCGGCATCGCCACTGCCCGCTTTATAGCGGCTGATTATCTTGAGCGCCTCGTTGATGTCGAGTTCGAGCGGAGCCTGATTGACTGACAACTGAAACAGAGAGAGGAGATATCTGTGACATTCTGTCTTGTGCCCATACATATCCAAACAGTAAAGTAAACGCTTATTTGTACGGATTTATCTACCATAACGCACCATAGTAAATTGTGTACTATATCGTAATTACTTCACTTATATAAAGGTCACGTATGTAAAAGACTTATCTCAGCGTTAATATTACCTCTAGAGATAAAGCCACAGTGTGGGCTGAACTATACGGACAATGTCGATGAGAACCAATTGATGGGCGTCTAGATCTTGTTGTACCCATAATCGAAACTGCAATTAGCCGTCACTTCAAATGCTGGCATGGGATCATTCAAAACGTAAATACCAAATTAGGCAATAACATCTTAAGTGATTGCTGTTTGGCCTTCTGGTAGTCTCTCGTCTGTGCGTGTCCTGTAGACCTCGGTCATGCGTCAATAATACGGCACGCAATATGTGTGAACTGAGTTCATGCTTCATACACAGTACATCTAACTAACGTAACTACTTCATATTACGGACTCGCTAGAATGAGCGTGTTGTTGTGAATACACACTTCATTTTGTTCGTGCTGATGGCGCTGCGAATCAAAGTCTTGCACCCACACCCGAGTTCCTCTTGGCGTACTATCCTCGCCGCTCTCGAAGACGAGATCACTACGAGTCACACTTTGTTCACCGACCGGTTTTTGGTCTCCCCGAGCGCCTGTTGTCGCTGCGCCCATGCTGATACGGATCTCTGAACGGATCGATAGCTCCTCGATTTTCAATTTTTTTAGTCGCTCCTTAAGAGTGACCAAAGTTTCTTTAACGGCGTCGCGTTCGGCCTTCAGGTAAGCGGATGCTCCAAACGTGTTCATTCCCTTTGTTCGGTGTTAAATGCACGATGCAACTGAAACAAGTTAATACGGACGCTATAGGTTAGCCGTGTCAATAAAGAAGGCTGAGAAGCAAACGCAGACTCGGTCGGCTAGCTTTACGATACTACAAATAGCACGACAACATCAAGTCAAGTTAAAAGCAAATATTCTCAGGGTGCCTCAGGAGTTTGACATGTATGTTCAGGCATAGATGTCAAACTCTTTCCATTTACGTTCAACGTTCTTTATTAGCACGTTTCACATCGTTCTCTTCTGATTAAGGTTACCCTTAAATTAGAAATCGCATTACGCGCTTACTGTTTATTGCCATATGCCAGCAAGAGGCAGACACTTAATAAAAACACAAAGCGTTTTCTTTTCTTCGCGCGTCGGACATCCGTAGTAATACTATTATTATTTTTATGACTACTATTATCACCATCACTAGTAACTAACAACAGGCCGGAAAGGGACACCCGTAGCAAAACATCCCGCTCATACCGCTTCGTTCATATCGACGAAAATACACGTTCGAAAATGCCCTCCCTTCATAATAACTGCGTATCCTTTCTCACGTTCCTCCCCTAAAAACGCGTCTACCTTCTCCAGTTCACCACTGTGCAACGCTCGCTTAGTTGCTCGCTCGCGATATCGTATCTACCCAATAGAGACTGAGCTGTAGTCTCCTTGCAGAACACAACGTACTATTTTAATGCAAACAATCCCTCGCCACTTTCTGCCAGATTACCCTCTCCACCGCACCTACAGGAGCGCCACCAACGTTTGAGCGCCAGCGGTGTTCGCAGCTATAGGAAGAGCCGCGGGGCTGGGTGTCTCGATAGCTTGTGGCTGCTGTGTCCAGATACAACGAAGCGGCCGAAACAAACGGAGACTTTTGCATCGACTAGAAAAATAGACACGCCACAGTCGAACAGCAGACGGTCGAGCCAGAAAAGAAAAACACCGCACAGACAGATCGAACACACTGCCCTCTGTCGTTGCGGTTTGCGCACGGCCACTTACTCTTTTCATTCGGTGGCTAATGGAGCCTAGGTGGTGGTAAACCGTAGCTGCTAGTTGGCTGGCTGGTTTAGCGGTTAGAGCAAGCCTCGTTCGCGCTTGCTTGCTTGCTTGCTTAGTTACTTGTCTACTCTCGAACGTGTCGTCGATGTTCAGCGTGCCATCCAATTAACAGGACGCGTAACACTGCTATTGTTGTCCACTGAACACGAAACGGCAGCAACGACAACAACTACCGTAGCAGTAAAAAGCAACACTGCTACTCGGCGGCTGACCGTGCACAATGTCCTCAAATTATTACTATTTCGATGTGTTAATGAGTGTATGACGAAAGTAGTGGTAGCTGCAGATCGACACCGAAAACAGTGACGCCAGCGTGCCGTTATAGTAGGCACTCAACTGAAGCCGCTGCAAAAAAAGCGGCCCAACGCCGAACGTCGTGGTGAACGTCGATAGCCAGCGGCGGCAGCGGCGGCGGCGGCGGCGGCGGTAGCAGCAGCAGCAGCAGCAGAAATGATCCAATCATTCGCCCGCCAGATGTGAGACATCCTCGTGAGTACGACCAAAACGACGGTGGCGATCCGACGCGGCTCACAACGACAAAAACGAGCAACAGAACGGCGGGCGACGACAAGCGTCGTGCTGATTCAGAAATCTACAGTAAGCCTTAGCTTGTAAGGAACTAGCGGCAGGTGGCTTAAAGTACGGCACCGCTTTGAACTGTTAAGGCACTGCAATCGCGAGTGAAACTACTAGACAACTGGAACTCCATGATAGAGAGGTGTACAGAATGATTTAGTTGAGCTGGTGGACAAGCGCAGGCAAATTTTGGCGAGACGATTGGCTAAGTCATCGGCAGGATTAGGATCAGCTGGCTACATAATTATCAAAGCATAAATTTGTTATTAGTACACATTAAATAAGCACCGTTCCCTGATGAGTTGAATATATATCGGTATAAGTGTCGAAGAGAACGATTGTAATTAGATTTTTACGAGGAGCTGAACATGTGGAACACTGTTTCTTGTTAAGCAAAAACGAACAATTTTTAGCAGTGACGATAACGGTGGTAAGACGGTAATGGTGCTGTGAGACGTGAAAAAAACGCATCCAGCACCTTGTTCAATAACTAGCCATCATGTTGGTTTGTAGACGCCGTAGTAATTAGCAATGCCCTTGTTCCTACGGATGATATTCGTGGACAGAACGATCAGACAGAAAAGCGTCTGACATAAGACGTCTCGTTCATTTAATTCTCTGCGTTTACTTAATTTGAGCCACAACTGTGAGGTGAGTGTCTCTATTAGTCTGAACTGGAATAGACTAGGTGCTTCGCTTAGCAGCGCTACCCTCAGAGTCGGTCAGACTATATAGGCAAACGAGATGCTGACGCTTGATTCTTCCAGGGGTCTTTAGTCGAAATGAGCGCGCATACCCTGCGGAGTCGCGTGGCCGATCTCTGGCGGAGCTTTTCATTCAAGGACGGATGCGATGAGCAGCGGGATGCTTCTGGAGTGTCAGGAGTCCTCAGATCCACCATGAACTCTGATCAAAGACAACGAACTCAGCAACATCAACACGACAGCTTTATACACCGATATTTGAATGGGTGAGTGAGAGTTCTCAAACAGGGTGCGAGGCTTCTAGCTTTATTCAAACTTGCGCCAAACTACCAGAGTTATCCGTATGGAGTACCTTAGACCATTCGGGAATTTTCCAAAAATTGCTCCCAATAGAATCCATGTATCCGGCTATGAGATCGTCAACTTTTGATTGACGTTGACAACATCGGTGAAAATAAGTGTCTATGATATCTTAAATATTCACAAGGAAAGAAAGACTAAACACTGCAAAATCTCGTACGACAAAGAGCTCGTACTTACTGACTACTTTAAGAACAGAAAAATTTGCTGTTAATAATGATACTCTATTAGATTGTAACAATGAAAGGGAAGAACTTCCAGCTGATAACTAGGAGACTGTGTTTACATCTGCATACCACAGTCTATGGTAGTATATATAATCTAGTACGTAAACATCGAAATGTGGGTCCGTCACAAGGTCGTTACTTCTTTAGTAGAACGATAACAGACGTATGCACGATTTAGGTAAAATAGATAACATGCCCGTACACATCGGCCAGATTATAATAGTCCCTTGGGTTACTGGACCCATTGACGTTGTTTTACATATTTTGCTTTGAAAAGTCAGGGTTAATATAATGAAAAGAAAAACGAACAGATTTATGTTTGGAAATGTATAAACCCTTAGCAATGAGTAAATTAATCAGAAATAATAGACCGAATCCGTTCATACAAATAGCTCGCCGCTGAGTTTTATGATAATAGGCATTGTCCGAAACGCTAGGAGTTTACGAGTGATTAGGTACGAACTTTGTGGTTTTTTAGTAGTCCCAAACATGTATGTTTGAGCCATGCTGGGCTGCCCAGCATTAATATACGATGCCAAAAACAAATCAGATTACCACGATACAGAGTAGTGATAAAATTAATACTTACCCGAGGGTCCACGTATAGCCGAAAACGTACAATAGTTTCATGCTAGAGTGGGTCCCTAGAGCTACCAGTCGATGAGTGCGAACATAAAAAAAATTAAAAGAACAAATAAGAGAAACCACCTCTATTGGTAGGTAATGGGAAAAAATCTAGTTGTATCGTGTTCAATAATTTTGGTCTGGGTAGCCCTTGCTAATCTTCGAGTATTGCCTACTTGTTGTTTTTTTTTTTTTTCGAGGAACCATTCCGACCAAAAAATTATCGAAAATGACGGAATTCTGCATTTAACTTTACTCATCATGCAGACGACAAAACCTAAATTTAAACGTTCAACGAATCTGCTCTGTTCGAAGATAAATGCAATGGATCAGGGATATCGTAGGCGTCTGAAAGGAAACGTTTAAAACCCATTGCTGGGTTTCTCTCCGGCGCCGTAGAGATTTCTGTAGTACAGTTGCGTGCCTTTTGTTGAAGTCAAATGCCTTGTTTATCGTTGTCTTGCACGATACTAACCGTGCGATACGCCACTCAAATCGTTGAGGACTATTGGCGAAGGTAACTTAGTCTATTTTCAATAAGTTCTACAATTTACCTTCTGTTGCGTTTCTCTTGCCGCATATAAATTGATCAGGCGACTAGAGTACAATTGTCGTAAAGATGATAAAAATAGCAGTTTTGACCAGCCAGAAATGACTAAGCCACAGTTCTTACAGAAGTACACGTAAACAATGCCGAAGATGGACCGAAATCGTCGGGACAGAAGGAAAGTCAAGGAATTTTTTTCCTTACACGTAGAACATCGCGATCTTCTGCAGTCATTTGGAAGAATGCAGTCACTTTGTTTACCGATTTTTATTTTTAATATAATATACTGTATTTTTCAATAAAGAAGTGCAGATCACTGATAAGTAATCTGGTATTGCGTTGAGATCGTATATGAAAACGTGTCGTGCCAAGACCTTTCGCAACAACTTGTGTGCCTAAGCCCCCATTTGATATACCACTTTAAAGTCCGTCTTGTATTTTAAAGTTAAGAATAACATTATATAAAGAATGATTTTCTTAATGATAAGCTTTGTAGTACTATATCTGCACGCCTAATTACCTCTCTGTGGCTTATGGCAGGCTACATCGGGCGTCTTATCCTTGATTTGTCCTCGTTATCCACTTCACCTCTATTAAAGAGACGTCTCGTGTTCGCGCGCAGCCTTGAATGATGCAGTATTTCCACCTATATTTTTGCTGATATAGCGACGATACTAACTGTTCACGGGGCAACGTAATCTACAACAATGTGCATCGACAATTGCACACTTTCTTGGATAGCGACAGTCCCAAGACCATGCTAATCTTGTCCAAAAAATGAGTAAACAATCTTCTTAGTTTCTCAGTCAGATGGGCGTTGTGACCCAGGCACTTATTGAAGATGGCCGATATGGTCAACTTTGCCCACGCCAGCGACCGCAGCGGCTCATTAGCGATGTTACTCTCACTCAAATTAAACCGGCGACATATCACACCATATAATTACCTGTCATCACATGGACATGCTACCTGTGGTATACCTTACCTGGTGTTTTTCTGTGAAACGTCAAAATAAGTTACAAAAAATCGTTGCGAAAAACACAGAAGTCCGTAGCCAATTGAAAATCGCTTTATGCCCCCGCGTTCACCAGATAGGTTGCCGTAAGACATATTAAGACAGCAGTGAAAAAATGAGACTGTATAAGTTCTCGAAAGTACTCGAAACGGGACTGATTTATATCTATAGTGGCAAATATACGACATCATCCTTTGCAAACAGCCAGGCTCAGTAACTAAAGTACTCGTCGAATTTTATCGTTCTGAGCATTCTATCATGAATAGTTACAGAAAATCATTATTCTGTTTAGTACTGTCAACGTATCCTCGCTTCATCGATGTTTGTCACCAAGATATTAAAGAAAAAGTAATCCAAGCGACACCTCGAGCCCAGATCACGACGACTGACTAGCTCAGATCACTCATCTATCTGACTGTTAGCTAAAACAAATCGCGAGAACAGGTCACAGTTGCTTCATTATATCAGTTAGTATCGATCATAAATGATATGATGGCGCAGAGCAGAATCTATAATGGTTCTGTGTTTTCCGAATATGTGGTCTAATGAAAAAAAAAAATAGTTCAGAATAGTAGGCGGTACTATTTATTTGTTTTTCTTTGTTGGTCGCGGCAGCGATCTGCTTATCACAGCTACCAGGATCTTGATTGATCAGTATAAGAGTAAGGCAGAGGCCAGATAAATAAATGTTGGTTGTACCCCGTGGACTAGTGATGCCCATATTTACAGAAGCATAGATTTTTATAACGAACTTAGGCTTGTCGGCTATGGAATAGGTGATTGGAGTTCTACGTTGAATCGTGCCGTCAAGTATTGCTTGCCGATATTGCGCTTTGATTAAAGCAAGCGGGAGGTGGAAGGCTGGGGACTGCGAGACTTCAGGGGAGGTCCGGCGTAACGGCCCAGGTCTCGGTGAAGGTGACTCACGAAATTCTGTAACTGGCCCGCGCCCCTTGATACTGGACGATGATAACGGAAACGTAGTTTGAGTATTGCGAAAAAGATTCTGTCGCGTCGCGGAAAATGATTTCCGGGACGCGGGATAACGACGACATTTTCGGAGGCGTTTTTTTTGACAACCTTGTCGTTGTTATTGCTTTGTTTTTAAATTCTTCTAAAATGTCCATCGACCATAAAATATCCGTTGTACGAACTCGAATATCTGCTATTTTTCAGTGTAACATAATCGTAATATCACAAGCGTATTGATGAATATCACAGACGGCTAGCATGTTCACAACAGCATATAAATGACACTTGCATCGATAGGCCAATGCAAAGTGTAAAATCCAGGACGCGTAGTTCCTATAGCTGTTAAAGGATTAGCACTGTTTGAAGCTCGGGGGGGCGTAAACATTTGATGTTAATGAATTTCGAAGTACGCTTTCCTTGTACGATGTGATTGCACGCAAGGGCTCAGTTAGTGATTTCGAAATACTGCTCACTAGCTCCTGCTCCATTTTCTTTAAGGACGCATCATCAACGTTGATTCACTATGTGATATTAACACACCAACTGATCGAGACTCGAGTCCATTATCCAACGAATAGATTTGACTGTAATACGGATTATATCGTGTGAGAGAGTCTGTGAGAACGCCTATTGGCGAGAGCTGGTCGTTCGCTATTTGATACGCGTGATGTCTACAATGTAGACGTATTTGTGCTGCGTGTGTTGACATTAAAGCCCGCCGTAACTATTCATGGGCTCACGCAGTAGTAAAGTGCCAATCATAATATTTGACCGATTAAAATAGCTCGTTTACGCACGAGTGCCATTGTATCTACAATAGATTATATATAAAATAGGTCGGCGCTGAAATGGTGCCTACATCGAGAGGTTTACTTCTATGTGCTACCTATTAGCAATGGTCGCCTTGCAGGCGATCTTGAATGATTAGTGCTGTTTATCTATGGATTAACTTGTCAAAGACCAGCACAGGCCCTAGGAGGGGTTTAGGGAGGATAGAAGGGCAAAGGATCGCCCACTTTACGACAAACCAGTTCAGCTATTAGAGTACGGGGCGGTAAGCTGCAAGATTTGTCCTTGATAACAATGTGCCGATGTAAATGTCTTTAGATAGAGCGACAAATACATTGTAGGGTGTTCCGATAGTAAAGTAGGGTACTGCCGTTCCAAGTGTCTATAGAGTAATTCTGGCATACAGTAATACTATGCATGTCTAGCTAAACTACTGCTATCATTAAAACCAATTTAATCTTCTAGCGAAATCGTCACTTTGCATGTACGGGTAAAGTGTAGATGATACTACATTCATCCTTACGATATTTAGCACTTTAAGCGCCGGATATATTCGAAAACATAAAATCGATATAGGCTAAATTAACAATGGGGTTTGTATCGATGTTGACCATCCCGTGTTGATGGGCTATCGTTCTTAGGACGGGTCCCACTCAACGTCAACGCTGGTCTGATTAGCGAATGTATGCTTATTAAGAAATCAGGCAATCCTTGCTAAAAGTGTCACCACTT